CCTATTTCATGAGTTCGTCGTACGTCGTCCAGTTGTTACTGTGGACCATGTAGTGGAATTATGATGAATGGATGCCACTTTTTAAAGCACTGAATGTCGTTCGGTCATCCGTTTTAGGACACCGAGAGTATTCGTTGCTGAATCTGGCCTCGAATTCCCTTAAAGGCTTGTAGTCTCGTTGCCGAATGGTGTACAAATCATCGGCAGAGTATAGTCGATCGGTCTGTATCATAAAGCGATTGAGAAAATTTTGCTTTAATTGATCGAAAGAGTCAATCGTACCTAGATCTAATTGATAAAACCAGTTCAAGGCGGCTCTGGCTAGTGTGGAGGGGAACAGCAGACATTGCCCTTCATTGGTCAGGCCCTTGCATCCTAATGTCGATTGAAAGGTGTGTATGTGGGTGATAGGATCCTCCACTCCCGTGTAGAACGATATCCGGAGTTGTTGGACATCCTTCTCCCGTTTGAAGGTTCGGATCTAGTCGGTGTATGGTCCTGGCTGGATCTTTCTCCAAGTTGGTGTCCAGTACTGATTATGTTCCTCTTCGATTCAGTTGATCTTCTGGAGGAGTAGGCCGATGGTGGGATCGGTATGGGGCAGGTTGGTGCAAAAGGGCTCGGTCTCGTGGGCGGGTATTTGATGGTTTCCCGTTCGGCCGGAGTTTCTAACAAAACGGCTCCGCCGATCGTCCTTTGTTGCGGCCCGATCGTTTTGATAGTGAGATTGTCTGGGCTTTGTCGATCGGTAGGATGCCGTGTTTTCAGGAGAAGTCAGAACATAGTCTGATTCGTTTGTTTCTTCAAGCCCAATCTTGTTGTACCTCTGCCAGAGGGGGGACTTTGGCCAGAGGACATCCAAACGCCGATTGTCGAGTTTTACCTGAACCTGTAATGGTGACGGTTTGCATTCCCTACATCGATCATTGAGTCGGTCTTGGCAATCGGAGTAGACTCTGTAATCTTGCTGCCGGTTCTTCGAGGAGGGGATGAATAGTTGTCGGGAGGGGGAAGGTTTGGCTGTCGCTCGTTCCTTCTCCCTACTGCTAGGCTTCGGCACGCTCCTGAATGATTGTTCCTGTCGAAGGGCGGTAGTTCGCTCTAGATCATCCTCCAATTGGGCTGAATGCGATTGTTGACCGTTGAGCTCCTTCTGGGTGTCATCTAGTTTGGAAGATAGGATATTGTTATGCTCCTGCATCTTTGCCATTTCTTGTTGGAGGGCTTCCATTCGAGCCTCAAGCGTGTTCTGCCGAACGGGTGTGTCCGTTCGCAGCGTACTCGATGGAAGGGCGGGGCTCGCTCCACCTGTCAGGCCGATGGTGGTAGTATCATCAGTAACGAGGGAGGATGGTGGATTCATCTTTGCTCCAGAGAGATATGGGCCGATCGATGATCGAAGCTTCCCACAAACGGCGCCAATCTGTTTGCGCCAAAAACTAAACAGATAGTGATAGGGCTAAGTTACAGGTATGTTGATGATCGTTGACCGGAGAGGCCTTCTTCCCGTGGCGTCCTGCGGCTAAAGTGGACGCTGGATCCGAGCTGAAGACAGAAACGGCAGGTGAGGTCTTGAGCACCAGTGCGATGTCGGCCGTAGACCCTCCGATGCCAAAGTTAGTGACTAAGAGCTAAATACTGAATGTGGATGCACAGTTCAAGTTGGAAGTCTTACCCTTTTGGCTAGGGCCAAGGGGCTTTATTTATAGAGGGCGTTTAGTATTCTGGTAGCACTTAATTTCAATGTGGGAGTCGTGGGAGTTTCCTCGGTGGTGGACACGCGTCTTGACAAGCTTTGGGAAGGGGTCTTCGAGGTTGTCTTGTACAATCGACTGGGCGTTCTGACCGCGCCCTCAAGTTCGTTCCACATATGATACCAATCGACGCCATTTGAGAGTGAGCAGGAGCCGTCGCCGATTGGAGAACATGTATGAATCGGCAAGGGGTGCCGATTGGACTATTCGGCGCTGCCCGTACAGGGTTGGTTTTATCCTCGTTCTATTTCCACATGTCGTGATGTGAGTAGAGGGTCAAATATGGTACAAACAGATAATAATGGCTACTATGTCATCACATCTCCAACCATGTTGGGGCTAAACTAAAAATTCCACCCTCCAAAATACAACTATTCATATATTGCTCGAACTTAAACAATTTTTTCCTCCAACCATGCACACTCATAATTTGAGTCCGCATCTTTATTAAATTGTTTAAAAATGGTTAACCCCTATTTTTATTTTTCGTAATTTTTCCTAACATTATTTTGTTTCAACATTCGTGATGTATTTTTTTGAACATTTTAACCTAAAAAAAATTCAAACTCCACAACATAATATAATTTCACTTCAAAATAAAGTTAAAAATTGAATATATTGGATTATTTAACAAATGGATTTCCATTTATAGAGTTTGGAATGAGTTTTGGATTGGATCTGATTTAGATAGATTTAAAGTATTATTTTGGCTGTTGAATTTAATTTGGACTGTTAGATATTTTTATTTTCCATTGAAATCACTTGGAAAAATCTGGGTCGTTGGATCCATATAGCCATTGGGTTTGAATGAAAAAAAAATAAAAAATCCCTAATTAACTTCACATAGTAGTCGTTGGATTCCGATGGCTACTTCACCAAAACACCAAAACAGAAAATTCATGGCATGCAATTGAATCTGCCACATAAATTCAGTGCAACTAAATCTGATATGGAGGTCATCCATTGAAAATCCCTCCTAATTGAAGCAAAACGATTCAGTAGGCTAGCACTAAAACACATACAAAATCAGTGGTCGGGTGAAAATATAAAATGTGATGGTGTGTGATGGATTATGTTAGCGGAGATAATTTAGGAAGAAGTGACGTGTAGAGAACATTTTTATTTCTCTAAAATTGTATGTGGGTGTAACGAATGTTTTCTGTTAAAAAAAAAAAACAAAACAAAACGAATGCTGGGTTTATATATATATTATGTTCATTTATATTTTCTTTGCATTTTGTAACTAGAGGCAAAGTCTACACCAATGTGAGAATTTCTAGGGCAATAACCTTTCGTTTGGATGAGAGAAAATAACTTAGAATTTAGTTTAAAGTATGAAATTTAAGAGGCGAAATTGATAATTCCCTCGTTTAGCAACTTAAGAGTAGAATTTATTAAAATGACATGTAGAAAAAATCGTGAAAATTAGGCTATCAAATTCCTGAGTTTAATTTTCATCAAAATAAACGTCATTTCACAATTTTCATAATGTCATTTACAAAATTGGACATAAATAAATAAAATATTGAAATCTTCAATTGCCAGAAATTAAAATGATAGAAATATAACTTCCTTCATCCAAACAAAGGGTAAAGGAATATTAATCTCACAGAAACCAACAAATCAATAGCGGAGTACGAGTATGAGACAAATTGTAAATTTAAATGCCAAGTTCACAACTTCACTTGGAAAATTATCCAAAATTATACAAGGTTTGTCATTTTTGTGGGTGATTATACGGATTTAAACGTATCTGGTAGGAAAATAGGTTGTACGGAGCTCTCCTTGCCTAAACCAAATTAGGAGGCAAAATTAATCCATAAATGACTTCATAAGATCCACCCAAATTCCTAATACTCAACTTTTCCAAACAGCGAAAACATTAGGAAGCATAGAAGTAAATATTGTTGACAGATAAGCTACAACTACTTACATTCTAATTGTGAAATTAGCAGGGTCTAAATTGTTAGTGAGACTAAATACAACTTTTTTATTTACAAGAGCCCGTGAAGACTGACAAGGAAATGACAAAGGGAAATTAAAACAAAAAATAAGGGAAAAAACACAGGAGGCTTTCAGATTCGATGATCACATCTGCCTATCATCCTAAAGGTCGAAAACTGTAGACTAGGCGGAGCTATGCATACAATGTTTTACAAATGAAAGAATCAATGATACAACACTCGCTATATATGCATTCATACACCTGATTCTTCCTTGACAGTCTCCAAAGATTCTAATTCGGACATCATCCGAGAGTACTCGTCATTGAGCTCTTTTATTTCACTTCTAAGCTGTGTCACCTGCACAAATACAATAATTTGAACTAGACAGTTCAGGCAAGCTTTCCAACTATTGAGCTTTAAGGTTTACAGAGGAGTATAACATGAAAGCAAGAGAAATGGCAATCGCAGGTACGGAGAATATAGCAGAGACAGACCAAGTCATCCAGCTCAACAAGCAGCTGCCCAACTCATCACAGTGGAAGCTGCTGCAGGAAATTTCAACCAAATGGAGCTAACTTTCCTAAACTTATTGTGACATTCTATAAGCTTAAGTTAATGAGAAATCCTCGAGAATTCTATTTATGGAGCTTTCATTTTCTAAGAAAGTTAATAAAATTTTCTTTAAGTCCTTTCAACATCATTTCACATGCAAAAGGATTGAAGATGGGTCAAAACCCCCTCTTACTGAGGAAAAATCTCCACAAGAAGTTCGATGGACTGCCAAAAGTTTGAACACCACACAAAGCAATAAAATATTAAGAAGCTAGAGGTATTGAGATAAGACACCACACAAAGCAATAAAATATTAAGAAGCTAGAGGTATTGAGATAAGACACCTAATCGAGTAGGTAGCTCAAAGGAAGGAAAGAACACTTTCATTAAGTAGCCCCGTCATTAGACCAAACAAAAAGAAAAAGAAACCTTAGACGCAAGTACAAGTGTTAAATACTCGATAGAAGTAATTATTTGGTGCCATTTGGAATACCTTGAGATTTAATTCTTCCCCTCTCTTCTCATATTCCAAACATCTGAAAAGGTGAAACAAATAGCTAAGAATCTAAATATTCAGTACGTAAATATCTTCATTATGCAAGAAACGGATTGCTCACGCAATGAAATTGACGTCAAAATAACGATGCAGATGATCTACTCACTTAGCCCGGAGCTTTTTGTTCTCTTGCATCAAATTTACAGCCTCTGCATCTTTCAGCTGGCTTCCAGTAGGATTCACAAGCTAGAAAAGTAAAATGCGTTAAAGAACAACAAATCAGAGACTATTATTTACATTCTAAAACATTCTTTTTGGCGTGAGGCCACAGAGAAGTGTTCATAATTTAGAAACAGTGCACACCCATATCTTAAACAGACTGGGATTGCATGATGTCAACATGGGTACATTAGGCTAACAAGCACAAGTCTGAGTAAAACATACAAAAACACAGAAATATCAATGAAATTTACATTGAAAATATGTGGTTGGATCAAACTGATTTTAAGAAGGCTCTCAAAATTTGGTGGGGGGAAGACCAGGTATTTAGCTGGGAAGGGTACAAATTTATGAGCAGGTTGAAATTGTTGAAAGCAAAGATGAAACGCTGGAGCAAGGAGGTGTTTGGAGATGTGGAGTCCGCTAAATGGGAGGCTGAAGTTGATCTCCATGAGGGGCTGGAAGGGCTGGATAGCGTCTTGAGGAAGGAAAGGGAAGATCTACACTTCTTGGTAGGTGATTTAGTTTTCAAGGAGGAAGTGAAGTGGAGACAGAGAGGTAAAGTTAAATGGGCTAGAGATGGAGATGGTAATACCAAAAAAATTCATAAGATGGCCACTGGTTATAGAAAAAGAAACTACATTGATAGGTTACAAGTGGAGGCTGTAGGTATTATTGATAACAAGAAGGGTATTGAATCGGAGGTAATTAATTTTTTCAAGAGGTTTTATAGTAGTAACGAGGAAGTGGGTTGGGGGCTGGAGGGATTAAATTGGTGCCCAATTAGCAATGCGGAGGTGGCTTGGATCGAGAGACCGTTTGAGGAGGTGGAGGTTTTTTTTGGACAAAAAAGGAGGTGGAGGTTTGTAATGCAGTCTTTGATTGCGGAAAGGACAAGTCGCCAGGTGCTGATGGTTTCACTCTGTTCTTCTTCCAATCTTGCTGGGACACTGTCAAATGTAATATTATGAAGGTGACTGAGAATTTCTATGATACTGGGATCTTCAATGTTGTTACAAATGAAACTTTGATCTGTCTTATCCCAAAAGAAAGAGACTGTTAAGATTAGGGATTACAGGCCTATTAGTTTGGTGACTAGCTTATACAAAGTGGTGTCCAAAGTTTTGGCCTCGAGACTAAGGGAGGTATTCGGCGGTACTATTTCCCTTTCCCAGGGAGCTTTTGTGAAAAATAGGCAGATTCTGGATGCTGTTTTGGTTGCTAATGAGGTTGTCGAGCACGCCAAGAAGTCTAATAAGTTGGGTTTGGTCTTTAAAATTGATTTTGAACATACATATGATCATGTGGAATGGAAATTTGTGGATGATGTTTTGGAAAGAAAGGGCTTTGGAGGGAGATAGAGAAGTTGGATCAAGGGTTGTTTAGAGTCTGATAATTTCTCTATCAATGATTAACGGGAGGCCCAGGATCCGTTATCCCCATTTTTGTTCACTTTGATGATCAATGTGCTAAGTAGGCTTATGGAGAAGGCTCAAGAGAATTAATAAATCTAAATGTTCTTTTGTGGGAATAAATTATAGTACCTCATATTCGGATTTGCTAGCTGGTGGTTGGGGTTGCGAGGTGGGTGGATGGCCTATGAAGTATTTAGGCCTTCCCCCCGGCAGTAATCCTAGAGCACCAGTGGTGGAGAAGGTACACATGAGACTTCAAAAGTGGAAGTGAGCATTTCTTTCTAGAGGCAGAAGGTTATTCAAGCTGTTTTGAGTGGTATCCCAACCTATTATATGTCACTTTTTAAAATGTCTAGCAGCATGGCTAATAAAGTGTAAAAGCACATGAGATCCTTTTTATGAAATGAGTGGAGGCAAGGAAAACTTAAGATTGAAGGCGGGCTTGGAGTGAAGGAAAACCTAATTCGTTGTGGAATCTGGTGATTAGCAGTAAGTACAGGGTTGCTAGGAATGGGTGGGATGCCAATCCAACTACTACTGGCTCCTCTCGTAACCCTCGGAAGGATATTTCCTCTGGGTACCATTCCTTTTTACAGTGTTGCGGGTTTGAGGTGGGAAGTAGGGATAGGGTGAGATTTTGGGAGGACAATTGCTTTATCCTTCTATTCCCTGTATTTTGGGTCGTTGGACAGCAGCTTATAGCTACTGCCATGCTTGGACTCACCAAACATTGGAAAACAATTGATTTCCCACCCCCAAACCTCCTTTCCCATCAACCAAATGGGGCCCTAGTGTAATCTTGAAGATGGTGGATCAAGAAAAGGTTGGATCTAAACTTTTGAAGGAACACAATCCATACAAGTTTGAAGGCACAATGATACAAGAAAGTTGTTAGAGATGAGATGACTTCTTTAGATTGTGTTGTGATAATTCTGAGTATGTTGATTTTCTTGGAGTTGATGCTTTTGATTTGAAGATTGCCAAGAAATTCGTTGATCATGTCAATCTAATAGCTTTTGGATTGAACAGTTTTTGGGTTGCAAGATTGTCTACAAAAGATAACTGGGAGTGTTCTCGAAGGATTAAATATTCTAATGGTGTGTTTACTAATTAGGAATTGAAATTCTCATCAGAAATTGAATTCCACCTCTTGAAGATTCATGTGTTTACTTTGCATCAAGGAATTGAGAAGTAAGTGGGGCCCACACAAAATTATAAATTGAATTCCTGATTTTGAAGGAATTCAATTCTTGAATGGGAGGTGGTATTCTAATTCTTGGAGAACTAGCCTATTAGGAATTCATATTTTTTACCTATTATATCCTCACACAATTTTTAAAATTCCAAATTTGCCATCTACTTTAACCCAACAACAAGGACATTTTAGTAATTAATTCCACTCCTACCTCAATTCTGTATGGTTTAGTAAACAACTTCAATAAGAATCCGGAATCTAACTCCCCTCAATCCATATAGTTTAGTAAACAACTTCAATAGGAATTTGGAATCTAATTCTCCTCAATCCAACTCCTCCTCAATTCAATTCCTCCTAATCCAATTACGGATTAGTAAACATGCCATAAGTATCTATTTCTTTGGAGTGGGAAGGTTTAATTTCACGGCAAAGTTCTATAGATAGTTTATGTACGTGGAGGTTGAGTTTGGACAGATTCAGTAAAAGGTTGGAATTTGAAGACGAATTCTTCACAACCCGGTGGAATTGATGCAAGAGAATAAACATAAGTGTTCAAGAATTGTCTGATATTCAAAATACCTCTTTATTTGTAAAGGAAGAATCCAGTTTCAAGCTTCTCTTAGAGTCTTCAATAATAACGGTTTAGATTCGAGGACCGAGTCTTTTCCAACCAGGAGAGTTTCATGCAGGAGCATCTATGAAGCTCTCTAAGATTACTTAGGCCCGTTAGTCGATTGGACTAGGATTTCGTTTAATTTCCTTTGTCAATTAGGGTTTCTTATCAAACTAGGAATAGGAATGCTTAGCTGGTATATTCTAGTATAAATAGGCTATTTAGAGCCTCTTGGCTAAACCCTTTAGTCTATAGAGTTTCTATTGGGATTTTGCCCTACAACTCAATTATCTTCGTTTCAACTTCTATTTCATTGCTTTATCCTTCTATGCATGTTTGGGTCGTTGGACAGAAGTTTATAGCCGCTGCCGTGCATCAATTCTGAAGGATCTTTTTCCTAGATTATTCGCACCTTCTACAAAGCACCTTTTATGCATTTCTCCTTTCGTGGTCATTCAGGTCTTGCCTCAATTGGGACTTCGGGATTAGGAGGAACTTGAAATTGGGGGGGTGGTGTTGGGTATGAAGGAATTAAATTGTCTCACTCTAGATTGGATAGGAAATGGTGGGAGCTCGAGGGTTCAGGGACATTCTCAAGCAAATCTTGTCGATCTTTTCTTCTCAACAATGGGATGGCTGAGGCTTTCCCTCCTTATTCAAGTCAAATCTCCTTCAAAGGTTAAAGTTCTTTTCTGGTTGATGGCCCTTGGAAAAGTAAACACATCTAATCTTGTCCAAAGAAGAAGACCGTATATGTGTTTGTCTCCTCACTGGTGTGCTTTATGCAAAATGAGTGAGGAAAACGCGGATCATCTTTTCTTACAATTCCCCTTCTCTTTAAGTCTTTGGTGGACCTTGCTGAGGGAGGTTAAGGCTGTTTGGGTGTTCTTCTGATCTTCTCAGTTCTCATTTTGTTGTATGGGGCAGGGGGAAGCGTGCTTCAACCTTATCTGGCTGGAGCGTAACAGGAGGATTTTCGGCGAGTATAAGGGAGTGGGTGTTGGAAAATTATGGGATAGAGTCAAATTCTGGACTGCTTTATGGGCTTCTGTCACCCCAGATTTCAAAGATTATTCTTACTTCTCTATATTGAGGGATATGGCTGCTGCTGTAACGTGAAGTGTTTTGGTGTCTTGTTTATCTTTAGTTTTGCTGGATCTTGTTTCGATTCTCTGACTCGTTTTCTTTTAGTCCTTGTGGTGTTGCGGAGTCTGTTGTTTTGCTGGTGTCTTTGTTGTAGTGTTTCTGTTCTGGTTCTGGTTTCGTCTGTTATTTTGTTTTTGCTTGTTTTGGATTGTGGATCCCTTATCCACTACTTGTTTCCACTTCGTTTTTCTTTGAATAAAATTCGTTTCTATTCGAAAAAAATTAAAACTCAAATTACAAAAGCTCAGACTCCAACAGAAGCTAAAATGCTTTTCTTTAACTGGAATGGAAAGTGTGGTAATTTTAAAAAGTTCCCTACTGACCTGTACATTCTGACTTTTCCCATCAATCAGCTTGGCCTTCACATTTTTTACTGGTGGAATATCACCATTCTCCTTTCTCTTCATCCTTCCAACTACACCAGTACAAGGCACCATCAGTAAACATTCAATGAGAAAAACAAATCTTAACTAAAGCAGTTACCTTGGGAGTCGGGTATTAATTGCTCAAATCTTCCAAGTGCTGCCTTTTTACTACCAACAGAAGGGGAACTTTGACCCAATGTGACAGGTTGTTGAACACCACTATGTGGCGTACGACTGGATGAAACTTGTGGGATAAGCTTTTTCTTTACCTGATACCCAATTAGCCCACAATGATAATCCCTGTCAAAGTTCAATACAACACATCAGGTTCACAGCCACTACCACTTTTCTTTTCAAAAGAAACTTTGTAGGAAACAGCATAGACTCAGGTATGAATGCCAGATGCAGGGTAGTGTCCCAATGTCAGTGCTTTGTTTCATGTATTTGGAGCATCCAGTGGCCATACCATTACCAGTGTCATGTTTTATTGACATGGATGCAAGCTAAATACAAGGGTCCATGTGGATAGTAACTTGACCCACCTCATTTTTCTCTTCTAATAGTACAAATGGCCAAACAATTTGGTCACTTAATATAAATCAATTGGAAGTTATGTACAAAGTTCTTCCGTACATAAATAAACAAAATTAATCAAATTCATTGGGTTATGCAAAAGTTCCTCATTGTTATACAGGAGGGGGGACACAAGAAAAATGAATATTTTTGCTGTTATTGAAAAAAATACAAGACCATTAGTCTAGCAAGTAGATTACCAGTATTCCCATGTCATCTCCTTCAAACGAGCTTCAAGTTTCTGAAAAAGAGAAGTTTTCTCAAAATCTTGTTTGTTGTGACTGGGCTCAACAAAATTTGCTTCCAAAACACCTATACAATAGCCAGCAAACATTGGTCTATAATTACAACACCCACAAAAAGCAAAATAGTGTCAATAAGAAGAGTGGTTTAGTAGATTATTACCAACAACCCCACGACCCCTACTGTCTAAATAGCTCACGACCTGCCAAAATGGCTGCAAAGGAGGGGAAAACGGAAATAGTTTATAAAGCACAACCTTGTCACTTTAAATATAACAGATGCTATACAATTAAATACATTTGTTATGGATTAAGATAAAAAGAAAATAGAAAAACGAAATTATTCAATAGAAAGTACAAAAGCTTGTAGGATTTTATACAAAAGGCACAATACCAGATTTAAATATGAGCAATAGTCTAATTTAGCATTCCTTACAATTTCACACCATTTGTTTTGCTACAACATAACCCATTTCATTACACAACATGATACTAAAACATAAACCAAACTCATGGACCAGAAAAATATTCTCAATGGGGTCTCAAGCTTTCAGTTTTTTGCCACAGAAAATTTTGTTCGTGTACCAGCAGTAATTACATGTACTGAGACAATATAAATGACACAACAAAAATTTTGAAAGGGGAAAACAAAATATATATATATATATATAGAGAGAGAGAGAGAGAGAGAGAGAGAGAGAGAGAGAGAGAAATTTGGGCATAATGAATCAGCCTGAGTACTAGTGAGATATATTGTGTCTCTGTGGGAGTAAAAACCCCGGGAAAATTAATTGCAAATATTGCCTCGAAACTATATTTATAGCCAACACACTGCTAGCAGAATGCTAAATTCCATAAGATACCTGCATCAGATGTTTTTTGCGATACACAAAAACCTACAGTGTGTGCATGTGTGCTCCTATGAATAACCTTGTGCTTTTCCAGAAATCACATGTACGGTGAAGGACAAAATAAATAGCCTAAACATTATTTGATAGCCAACACCACAGCAGAAAAGTCAAATTCAGCAAGGAAAAGATACCAATATTAGACGATTTTTGTGATAAACATTGAAGCCATGGAAACTGACATGTGGAGCTTCCTTAAGAAATCCAATAGTCGTAATAACTTGACCCTGCATGGTTAAGCCACTACATCATTAAAGCAGAGATCAAAGAGATAGCAGTAGTTCAAATAAGAAGAACTTAAGTTTGTCCGTCTGCAATGGGAAACAACTGTTTCAAAATTGTGGTACAACCTCCACAGAACCTCCCGTTTGTGGTTTATACAAGATAA